TTGGTGGTCACAGGACCTGTAGAGCGCCGCCTTCATGCAAGCTCTTGCAATGCCACGTTTAACAATTTTTGAGTGCGCCGAAGAAAAGGGAAGAAGGGCCTTTTTTGACCTGGGTGCGTAACCCCAACACACGTGGCTGTTTGAGAACGACAGTTCTAAGTCTAAAAAGCGTAGTTTGTTATTTGAAGGATGCTCAGTCTTCAATTCAAAAGAACTTAATTCTGCGCGGAACACGTCAATTATTTTAGAAGCAGCAGGCTGCGCGTCAGGTGGGTTAGTGCGGTAAAAAATTAAAAAATCATCCACGTAGCGCATCACTTTTACCGTGCTCGTCTGATCTAGCTTGCTCTCTAGATTGCGGTCAAAGCTAGCCAATAAAAGGTCACTCAGAATGGGGGCGATGCAAGACCCTATGCACACTCCTTTACGTTGTATAAAAAGCTTATCATCCAGGCAGATGAAGGTCGATTGCATATAAAACTTTAAAAGTGCTAAAAACCGATGGACAGTGATTCCACAGGCGTTTTGGAACTTAAGAACCCCGAATCTGTCTATGCAATAGCCTACTTCAGTACACACTTCTTCCTGAGGGAGCGAATAATATAAGTCCTTAATGTCTATGGAAAAAGCGCGCACACCTTCTGGACACTCATCCTGGAGAAAGGTAGAAACAGTACCTGGCGCCCTTATGAGGTAGGGGTCGTCGACGTCGAGAAGGCCCAAGAACCTTTGCAGAAACACTCCCACCTCACGTTGCCAGGTTCCTCGCTCAGAAACTATAGTCCGGAACGGGCACAATTCCTTATGGGTCTTGGCACTGAAGAAAGCTGATAGGCAGGCCTCGAAGTCTCTACAAAGAAAAAGCAGCCGCGGCCATTCTTGAGAACTTCAACGAAGTAAAAGGAGTGGTTCCGGCGAAGGTAAAGACAAGGGCCGTCCAGCTGTGCGAAAAAGCCGGACTTGCAAAACTGGCTAAGTCTGTAAAAGCCTGCAAAGAGACCTGCCTATCAGCTTTCTTCAGTGCCAAGACCCATAAGGAATTGTGCCCGTTCCGGACTATAGTTTCTGAGCGAGGAACCTGGCAACGTGAGGTGGGAGTGTTTCTGCAAAGGTTCTTGGGCCTTCTCGACGTCGACGACCCCTACCTCATAAGGGCGCCAGGTACTGTTTCTACCTTTCTCCAGGATGAGTGTCCAGAAGGTGTGCGCGCTTTTTCCATAGACATTAAGGACTTATATTATTCGCTCCCTCAGGAAGAAGTGTGTACTGAAGTAGGCTATTGCATAGACAGATTCGGGGTTCTTAAGTTCCAAAACGCCTGTGGAATCACTGTCCATCGGTTTTTAGCACTTTTAAAGTTTTATATGCAATCGACCTTCATCTGCCTGGATGATAAGCTTTTTATACAACGTAAAGGAGTGTGCATAGGGTCTTGCATCGCCCCCATTCTGAGTGACCTTTTATTGGCTAGCTTTGACCGCAATCTAGAGAGCAAGCTAGATCAGACGAGCACGGTAAAAGTGATGCGCTACGTGGATGATTTTTTAATTTTTTACCGCACTAACCCACCTGACGCGCAGCCTGCTGCTTCTAAAATAATTGACGTGTTCCGCGCAGAATTAAGTTCTTTTGAATTGAAGACTGAGCATCCTTCAAATAACAAACTACGCTTTTAGACTTAGAACTGTCGTTCTCAAACAGCCACGTGTGTTGGGGTTACGCACCCAGGTCAAAAAAGGCCCTTCTTCCCTTTTCTTCGGCGCACTCAAAAATTGTTAAACGTGGCATTGCAAGAGCTTGCATGAAGGCGGCGCTCTACAGGTCCTGTGACCACCAAGTTGAAAAGTGTTTCTTTTCGCAAGTTGACCGCCTGAAGCTTGCAGGTTTTCCTGCAACGCTTTTGACTAGTATTGCTGAAAGCCTAGTAGCAGTCTGTAAGGACAAGCGCCTGGCCACGGTGCAGTCTGAAAATAGCCGGCTAAAAAGCGTAGCAGTTATCCCCTATGTGCACAAGGTAGCGCACAATTTAAAAAAAGTTGTCGCCAGGGCAGGCATTAAGCTGCTATTTTCTGCCCAAAATAAGCTAGGCAGCTTATGCCAGCATGTTAATCGTGAGGCACCGTACAAAAAAGGATGTACTAAGAAGCACAGGCACAAGTTTGTGAAATGTCGTCATGGCGTGGTCTACAAGATTCCTCTTTCCTGTGGTCGGTGTTATATAGGGCAAACGGGCCGTTGTGCTAATGACCGCTTGCGCGAGCATTCAAACAAAGTTCATAATCGCGCTACAGATAGTCAGCTTTCCCTTCACTGTAACAACTGCGGTTGCCACCCATCTTTTAAAGATACCATTTTCTTATCATACTACCACGATGAACGTGCACGTCTCATTTCGGAAGCTTTTCACATTCATAACAGTGGTGAGGCATGTGTTAGCCTCCCTTCCATTTCCCTCCTTCCGAAGGAAATCAATTTTCTGTCAAACTAATTTTTTGGAATGCCTCTGCGCAGGCTCACATGCCGCTGCGTAGGCTGTTTTTTGCGATAGTGCTGTGGTATATATGTATGCTGACTGAAGAAATAAACATATTTGGTTGCTAGTCAGCGCCCTGTCCTGTTGTCCTTTCTTTTCTTGTCCCGTCTTTTTAGCGCTGTTTTTTAACTTCTGTGAACATGAACCAACCAGCCCAAATGCGTACGCTTCTGCAGCCTGCTGCTGAAACGGGCCTTAAAATTGAATCTTTACACAGAAATTATGGTGGTTGCTTCACTTATAGGCTGCTGAACAACGCACCTCTGTAGGAGTCAGCCCTCAAAAAAGCAAGAATGAAAGTATTTTAGGCTTTCATTCTTGCTTTCATTCTTGCTTTTCTTGCATTGTTGCTGTGTAGTTAATATACACAGGCTAAGAATAGGAGGCTAACGTTGATGGGCAGTAAACTAGAGATACCGTCTGTAAGTTCCCTGTACGAATGAAATATCATATTTTTTTCAAATTCCGACACGAAATTAGAAGTTAAACTATAGTGCGTGATTTCCGCTGCATCATTCCTTGATAATCGTACTCCTCTCCCCAAAAAAAAAACAATGTGAGCATAGCGGTTGCAGAGTTCGCGACAGCAGAACACATGGCTTGAGTAATATCGAGACAGTATATTACGTTCATGCTCACTACGACCCTATAGGATACGCTCTCTGAGGTGCCAGTGACAGAAGACAATCGTACACCTTTCAAATACCTACATCAACTGATACTTCCGTGTGATATGCGAATTTGCGCTGCATCAATTGCATAATAGTATCTTGTATTTTATTCATTGATGTCCGAAGCGTTCGGAGGACGAAGCTGCACTGCATGGGTTCACTGCGATTAGAATCACATGAGGTGAAGAACTCGTTTAACGATCTCCTTGCATACTACGGTAAGTGTTGCCTACGCTTTGATTTAATGATGAGAGGTGCCGATCCGGTGGTTACTATGAAGGCTCTTTTTTTCTCTACCGTGAATAATATATGTAAGATATTGTGCCCCACATCAGTTATGATTGTATAAGAAACAATTAGTTAAAAAAGTTAACAGACTCGCCTAACGTTTCGTTCCATAAAGTTAGAAACACTACACATGCCATTCGATATGTTTGCCAAGATAACAGTGAATAATTTATAGATCCTTTCTCAGACATATTCGAATTTTTCTTAGAATTCTTTCACTTAATGTAACGCGGTATGCGCCACGTGCGCGACCTTGACAATCCCTAAGGCTGTTGGGTGTGTAAACTGGTCTAGCGAGTTACCTGCTCAGGACGTCGCACCTGCTTTGCATTCACGGAGGAGCATAAATTCTTATCAACTACGAGGATTGCTTTTCGGCTTGACGAGCACTTTGCTTTTTTGGCATCCTGCGATGCTAGAAAAAAAAAACATTTACGCTTTTTCATTGTGAAAGCACACGGCAATACTACATTATGTTAAGAAACGAGGAAATTGATATGTGGGGTTTAACGTCCCAAAACCACCATATGATTATGAGAGACGCCGTAGTGGAGGGCTCCGGAAATTTAGACAACCTGGGGTTCTTTAACGTGCACCCAAATCTGAGTACACGGGCCTACAACATTTCCGCCTCCATTGGAAATGCAGCCGCCGCAGCCGAGATTTGAACCCGCGACCTGCGGGTCAGCAGCGGAGTACCTTAGCCACTAGACCACCGCGGCGGCGCAAACGAGGAAATTATACCTAGCGTAGTTGCTGCTCTTGTGAATTCATGTGCAGCCCTAACAACTTTTCTCCGCTTCCTCGACATTAGAATCGAAGTTCTTATGCTACAATGAAGTACCTGTCCCCCATACTTAACAGACTACTACGCGAGTTCAGTCACAAACGAACTGTCCGCTACGAGCAGTTGGTTTGCAAACACGAAGTGCACTACCCCAAAAACTTGAATTTTGTATATTTTCACGGTGTGCTGTTTCACATATCGTTTTGCGTACGTGGTCAATATATGAAGTAAAAATTGAAACAGCCCTGAAATCGTTAAATTTATGACCGCTGTGTAAGCGTTGTCCACTTGCTATATACGGAACCCCCAGACTTATGCGATTTGCAATCTACATGCCATGAACGAACGCTTCTTTGTATATATCTGACTGACTAAGAGAAATATTCTATATATCTAGCCATATAATTTGAGAGCCTTAGTTCTCCAGAGATTCGATAGTGCTATGACATAAAGAATACAGAGGAGAGCTGGACCGGCAGGATGCCTGACATAAAAAGATAAGTCCCGTACGAGCATTATGACTTTGTAGTTCCAGAGAAAGTCTCTCATTACGGACTAGAAAGTGCAAAACATAGTATGCCTACCCTCCAACGGACATAAGTGGCTCCGTCCTGTGCATCACGCTACTTGGTATGGTAGAAACGTCACTGCATAGGATCAGGCCAGAAGAGGTTCGGAAGGAAACTGCACTCTGGTGATCAGTGATAAACATATCAGACAATTTGTAAGGTGAGAAAACAGGAAGCTTTGGTTTATTTGGCGTTCACGAAAAGTAGAGAACTCTTCGTCTTCGGCCACTGGGGCGTTGGCACGCCCGGGCCTCGAGAGGATAAATACACGTATGAGAAACAAGGAGTAGAACGCGAATGACATGTCTTACTCCAAGATGCCCGAAATAGATACTGTACAGACGATTGCTGCGACACGTGCTACACAAATACATGCAAACTGCTCACGCAATGAATGACATTCGTGCTTACAAAGTCTATATACATACAGTCAACCAACAGAGGCACTAAAGTGTCGTCACTCTCGGGTTATAACACGAAGTCCATGAGCAGCGGAGCGGCATCCACACAGTTCCTTTCAAGCGAGCCTTCGTAGACCAGGGAGTGGCAGGACAGGTCGCACGACTTTCGGAGAAAGTCATTCACTTGGCTCGATACGAGGCCGGGGTTGTTGAGGTGAACGTGATGCGTGCCGTCGACCTCCAGCTTGACGAAAGGGTCGCATGAAGTCCGGAAAAAGTCCTCGCAAATGCGGAGCATGCCTTCTTCGTCGTCGTCACACCAGTCCTTGGCAGACACCATGAGCAAGGGGCCACGGTAAAGAGTCATGGTGTTCTGAATTGTGAGGGCATCCTTCTTGATCTCGGAAAGCGTGTACACCTTTAGGCACCGGGAGAGTACTGCCAGTTGCAGGGTCTGACCAGCCTCGTCCTCGGCGCCTAGAAGAACACGCGCAGAGTCTTCGTCCAGCGAACCTCCCGTGACGTCGACGAGGTCCCGAACCACGGTTTCCATGGTCTCCTTGTCGGCCTTGTGGTATTCGAGGTTTCCGGACGCCTCGATGTGTTGCACTAGTGTCGGCAGCATGTGGCCTGGATGCGTGTTCACGGTGTCCGACATGCTCAACGACACAACACGCGTGCAGACGTCCGGTCGAAGACCGGCGTAGTAGAGTGCCATCGTGGCTCCGACTCCGTGAGCCAGGATGGCGCAGCAACTCCAGCCCAGATAGTTCAGCACGTCGTCGATATCCTCGACGAATTGCTGGTGGCTGTACTGGTAACCACGCGGCAGGTTGGACGACGCTCCGTGGCCCACCAAGTCCAGGGCGACCACTCGAAACGACGGGTCCAGCAGGGGAACCAGGTTGTCGAACGAGGCGCAGTTATCGAGCCAGTCGTGGATGGCGAGCACGGGCAAGCCATCTGACGGGCCAGAATCCTTGGCGTGCAGGTAGCCATAGCCCACGGGTATCAGCAGGTCCTTGGACTTGAGAGATCGTCTTCTCTCCATGGCAATATAGCCTCTGTTCGAGGAGTACGTCGGTGGAAAACGACAAGTTGGGCGAAAACGAGTAGGCCTACAGTGACCGTTCCACGCTTTTTCGCTCGTTGCGCGCACACGAGAGACACGTTGGTCGTTGCTTCGTGAGCTCTGGGAGAATAGTGTGAGCTTGTTTGGGAGCGACAGTGGCTTTTATGCGCCAACAGAGGTTACGACTGCGCTGTGGTGGCTCCTCCCTGCCTCCTCGCCCCCCACAGCTCTTTCCCCCTCCTCCTCATACGCTCACCCTCTTCCTTCCTCAGCGTCGACGCGCGCGCTACGCGCACGTGCTGGCTCTGGAGGTACGCTCGCGAGAGCTTTCTCCGGTCCGCTGCGCTCTGCAATCCCGCTGTCCCGGTTCCTCGCACAGGTGGCGGAGTAGATCCACTACAACTGGAAACGACGACGTTGAAGAGAGCGAATTGTGAAAGGGTAGTTGGCTGAGGGAAGCAGTGAAGGTGGAAGCGAGGGGCAGTAAGGGGAGAAGACTAGCAAAAGCTCTTTTTTTTTTCACTCTGCCAAAACAACAACGGTATTCCCCCGGCGTGTGGCGGTGGCTTCCCCTTCCAGAGAGGCGCACTCTTTCTCGTCCACTCTCTCCGGAGCGCCGAAGCAGCAGCAGCAGTTACTCTGCTCTCTCCAGCGGCAAGGCCGCATACAGATGCGAGCCGCCAAGGGCAGTCGAGACCCGCCGGCGGCAGCGCCTGAGAAGGCCAACGAAGCCTCAGCCAGCACTGATGCAAATGTCGCGCAACCCAGTCGCGCCCGGTGTCACCAAAAAGCGCGTGAGCGCGCGCCTTGTCGGATCGCTTTTTCCATTCACGTGCACGCGGGTACATAGCCGTCTCCTCGCGCGTCATGGATGAGGAGGGAGCAACTCTGCCTAAGCAAACGTTATTTTATGGCGCAGAGGGGGGTGGAAAGAGGGGGAGGTGCGGATTAAGTTGGTTGCCCAGGGGCGGCGGCTGGTGGCCCAACCGGTTGATTTCGCAGGCAGGTCGCGATGCCCGACCGATTCGTCTTGTCGTCACGCGCCGCCGCTGTTTTCGATATCTTTTCGTTCAAGGTCGAGGGCAAGGTGGGGGGCAGCCTGTCTCGAAGACGGGGTGGGGAGGGGGAGGATTGTGGAATGGAAAGTATAACTATGGCGTAGTGTCCGGCGTGGTGAACGACTGGATGGTAGCGGTAGCGGCGGGGAGGAGCTGGCACGTCGAGTTGCCGGCTTCCGTTTCACCTGGACCTGGGATTCTCCTCAGTTTACGGGTTTGCGACATACGAGATCTACGAAGTGGCAGTCAGGGGTCCCTGATTTTTCTTCTACTTTCTCCCATTGACCAGCATGAATCAGCGATCACGCGTAAACATACGAGCGGACGTATTTCTCCACCTCAAAACAGGAACCAGCCGGAAAGTTTCACTTTTCTTCGATCCGCCCACATGTCGGTCACTCGTCATGACGCTCTTTCTGCTGTCCGCGGCAACAAACGGTGTCATGCATGAGCGACAGCCCCTACGTGAAAGGAGAAACACAAGCGCCTCTCTCACGGTCACGTGACTATGACAAATTGGGCGGTTTTTTTTTCCTTGAAAGAGAGAGGGAACGCATGCTGTCATGACGAACTCCCCTATGTGTACACACAACAGAGCTGCGCACGTGTGAAGGCTCTGCGATTATCGAAGAACGGGAATCCCGATGTTTTCGCTTCCGAAGCACCAATACTCAAAGCCTGATGCTATCCTGGGCCCATATAGAAGCTCAAGACCGACCCTTCTGTTTCACGGTCGTGCCGCGAAGGCGTCAGCGTACTTTCCTGGCCCCCGTTCCGGAGAGTTAATACCGCTGATTACACAAATTACACGCTGTCTTTGCTGTGTGCTGCACGTACAGCCCGTTTTCGCTGTATAACGCTCGTGTTGGTTGAGCGGAAGTGCGGCCACAGGAAGTCGGCAATGTATACGTCCTTTTCGCTCAGTACATGACTGCGAATAATTAGACGGCTGGCGCCTCGGCGCCATACAAACGGTTACCTCCGTTTTGACCCAGTCGTGTGTACAGTTTTTCCAACTCATGCGGCTGCTAAGCAAGGACGCGTCACGAGTGTCCATTGTTTTTCGGTAAATGGTTCACCTTCCCTTCTAGTTGACATACACAAGGTGGTAGTAACGACCTTCTAGCAGTAGCCACGCGTTTCTCATGCCTTTCTTTCTTTATGGTATAGGGCAACGACGTGCGGTTCTGTAAGCGTTTCCATGGTTTTTCCTTTTATCTGGAGATAACTTCCCTGAGCACGAGAAAAATGCAAAATAGCTTATTTATCTCTATCCTCGCGAAACACTGACCTTAAGTATAACGTAAGTGAACATTTGGTTTTAAGTATATTCCTGCGCCAGAAGAAATTAGCGAAGCCTCTTGAAGCCTGCAAATGGAGGGGATTGTTCTACAGCCGTCTACGTTCTCTCCCACTGTGATTTTTTTTTTCAATCGGTGCTTAAAACAGACGCGCTTACATCTACCATTGTTTTGCGCTGGCTAATTATGTTCCCGCTAATCCCACACAGTCGCTGCACGCAGCAGAGTGCATTCGCACGATAAAACGATTGATTGAGGAACAGCTTTGTGTTACTTTGGGCGTTAATCGTTCATATATATGGGGAAATGTGATTTCGGAATACTAAAAAAAGTCGAGAATTTATGTGTCCTTTAAACATTCGTCTATTCGGTATATAGTAGAAAAACGACCTTCTTTGGGGCAGTCGTCTCTCAAAGAAAAGCCCACAACGGCACGCTCAACGGTATTACGATCCATCCCCGTATACGTAAATCAGGATTCCTTCACTCTGGTCCCTCCGCCATCGTACCGAAGCGCTAATAAAGCGCTAGAATGTTTTTTTCTAATTTACAAAACTAATTGAGAGGCTACATGGTGGGTATACCTTTCATTTTCTCTCCTTTCCTTCCAATCTTTCCTGCCGTAGCTCTATCACCCAGCGTGGCCAATCCCACTCTGAACCTCAATGACCTCTCTCCCTTTCCTATCTTCCTCTCTCTGTCCCCGAGGAAACTAGCCGTCAAGCGCTCTGTGTCTCTGGAACCATCACAGAGGCACTAAACAGAGCCAAGGCATATTTGAGAAGTGTACACAGAAGTGGATAGTGTCGCGGTTGGAAAACATGTTTAGTCTTACTTAACATCCATCCGGTAGTAGATAATACATTCTATCCCAACCTGCCTTGTTGATCAGGCCAGTTCAGAAAAAAAACTGTGGCATCAAAGCAAACGGTTTTTATGTAAATTACTCAAATAATAAAACCCGTATGTTGCTCTGAGCAACTTTACTTCGGATAACATAGCTTATACTTACAGGCATGAATTGGGAGACGGGTTGATGCATGGTTAGAAAGCCAATCAAGAGCATATATAGTAAATAGGCCGAGAAACAGCACATGGCCAGCACTCGTCCATCCTTTCACTCTATCAAGGCCTTAGATGCCCCATAAATTTCGTCGGCTCACGACGTGATCACGTCACCATGACTTCACATGATGACGTAATCAAAATATCATCGCCGCTTCATGAAAGGCACGCTGGTTTTGAGGCACTACAAAACCACTTTTGGGGCGGTAAACCTCATAGGGTACTTTGGGCCGGACCAATCAAATCGACCGAGAAAAAAAAAATGCTCAGAGCTTGCACTAAGCCACGCAATGCTCGATATACAGCGAAAACTGTGTTGAACCGAGCATGATCGCAAGCTGGACGAGAATGTCCAAATCTCAACAAAAGGAACTCGCGCTGAAACCTTGCGTCTGCCCCATCTGTAGAAGTACGGGCTCACAGCATGCTTACCGGCAGGCCAGATCTTGCCACAGAGCAGGCACAAAAACATCATCAGACTCGCCTTTACGCCCCGCCGCGGTGGTATAGTGGCTAAGGTACTCGGCTGCTGACCCGCAGGTCGCGGGTTCGAAACCCGGCTGCGGCGGCTGCATTTCCGATGGAGGCGGAAATGTTGTAGGCCCGTGTGCTCAGATTTGGGTGCACGTTAAAGAATCTCAGGTGGTCGAAATTTCCGGAGCCCTCCACTATGACGTCTCTCATAATCATATGGTGGTTTTGGGACGTTAAACCCCACATATCAATTAAGACTCGCCTTTACGCTTTCTGTGTTCATGATCTTCGTACCACCAAGGTCTGTCCCATTCTGTTTCCCGCGCATGGTATTGCGATCCAATCGACGCTGCCGCTGCAGTTCTCGCGCAGCGGCAAGTACCGCTTCTCGAATCAATGCTCTTTCCTCGATAATGCAATTTATCTTCGGGCGACCCATGAGTGCGCATGCATGGTTAAGCGCGAGCTGTACACTCGTTTTGATAACACAATGTATGATGTCGCAACGATGTGACTGTAACACAGCGCAGACCATTATAGTGTGGTTTCAAGCATGTGGCACCCGCGCACTCAGACGCCCATTCCATCAAATCACGTACCCGCTTATGATGATGATAGTTTTCCGATAGGCCGCACAAACTTCGGTGGTATATACTCGTTTGCTGGGCTAACTGGACCAAGGGTGTTCCTTGATGACAGTGTGATGACGCATTATCATATTATTGTGATCAAGTGTCTGTGCCGTTGAATCAAAGCACAGTTGCGACCACTTCTACTAGGAGGCTCATGGCTGTTAAAGCAGAGTTTTGAGTATTAATATCTGTGATAAGCCTTCCTCACCCTAATAAATTTGTCACGCCCTAATCAGGCTTTTCATGTACATAAACACCCAGGAAATGTCAGGTGCGGCGCTCATATTTGACGCCTTGTTTAAGAAACCAAGGACATAAACGAAACTTTTTTACCTTAGAAGACTGTGATGAATGAGAGTGTACCAAGGCGAGACAGTAGTTTCATTATATTACATCGTGCCTACAAAAGCGATTTATGTCACAGTTGCTTACCTCTGAAGCGATACGCTCAGAAGTCGCCTTTGCTTAATCAAAAGGCTCATTTTCCTGCTTCAGCGTGCGCTGTACAATAAAAAAAATCACAAAGTGCCAAAAATAATGATGAAAGAGCTTTACACGAAAGGAGGTAACATATTGCAATACAGTCGCACGAGTAGAAACTTATCACTGAAAATTACGCCGCAAAACCTCGAGGTCAGTGCGAAAAGTGCATCTACCTAATTAAGATGCTTAGAACTT